ACTTTTTGAGTACACAAAACTATGATTCGGTTCAAAACTAATATCAGATTCAGAATCAGCGTTAAAAACTGAGTCGATTTATATATGTTGTGAATAATTCTGAAAAAAAAATTTTTTTTTTGAAAAAATCCCTGTACCCCCCCTCAGGGATGGTCTGGTCAAAAATCACAATTTTTTCGATAACTCAGCCATTTCTCGACGGATCCTGCTCATCTTCGAACTCGACCGAGACATTGTTAAGACTGAACTGTGTAGAAAATTTCATCGCGATTGGACTCTCCTTTCGAAAGTTATCGTGTAAACGGACGGACGGACGGCCGGACACACTGACCGATTTTAGTAGTGTACTCACTTTTTGAGTACACAAAAAGGAAAACCTATACTGTGGGTTTATTCATGTTTACTATCGTGAAAACACATTTGAAAAAATAAGTACTATGCATTACATTATTCACTTCGTGTCAACAGAGAAACACTGATTACGAACGATTATTTTCACTGTCGATTGAAAGCAAACGATGCTGAATCAAAGTCAAGCCTATGGCAAACACGTCATGCTTTCCTATCATTGGGATGATCAAATTTTGGTGTCGAAGGTATACGAATATCTTACGTCACATGATATTCCTGTTTGGATGGATATTAAAGGAGGCATGAAGACCAACTTATATGATAGGTAATCTTGGAAAATAACGGATTAAACATCTTTCTAAGAGAAATCATAAGTTGATTCATTTTCACATCGACTGATTCAAGTCGATCATCATAGAACAGCTGAAATAGTCGCTTAGCTGCTCGTTTTTACTTTGTCGTACATGCTATTCACAAAATTTGGTGCTAGTTTCTCTGAAAAAGCCTTAGCTATTCCAAACATTTTTCTATATTAGTATTTAATTTAGAAGCTGATTAAGTAGCTAATGTGACAATAATTTTCTGTCTTTGTTAATTTATTCTTCATTCGAAAAAAAAATACCAGAAACCTGTAGGAAAATCGAAATAGTATTTTATGTCACGATGTCCTGTTCATTTGATCTATCTTGCTCTGACGACTACATATAATTAATTTACTTCATTTACAGTTAAATACGAGGCTGAGAAAACCGATAGAAAAGTAGAATTATCATCTCAATACGTTCTCGATCTGTGTTAAGCAACAGTCTCAAAATAATACAGTAGCTACAATCGAATCGAAGATCTTATATTTGGTTTAAACGTAGAACTTTCTACGAGTAAAGAAAGATCTTACAACTTAATATTTCAATAAAATTTTCCAGAGCAAAATTTTGAAAATTTCGAAAAATTATAATTCCGATCAAACCGGGGATGAGTTTGAATAGTTTCATCCATTTTGAGTGGCGATGAAGAAGATACTCTATTCGACGTTGTAAGCTTGTTATATTTTTATAGTATGGCCTTGGCGATTCAAGAAGCAGCGGTCGTCATTTGTTTCATGACGCCAAAATATCAGGATTATCCGTTTTGTAGAAAAGAATTACAATATGCTGGTGATCTACGAAAACCGATCATTCCGTGTCTATTAACACCTGACTGGCTACAAAGCAACTGGCTTGGATTTCTTACAGCCGGTTTAATTTGGCTCGATTTTCGTGATATATCTGACGATAATATAGAACAGAAATTACAGCGAATGATTGATTTCATTCATATTCTAACTCGAGATGTATTTAAAAAGAATGTTGGTTAGTAAAGAAAATAAGTTGTATTGTTTCTCTTGATCAATATCCTATTATTCACTAGTTACAACAATGATATCGCAAGAACAGAAAACGATTCACATTGTCTTGATAGGTCGAGCCGGTTCTGGTAGGTATCACGTAACAATATATGAGAAAATGCTATTGATTGATTGTTTTATATTGTAGGAAAAAGTTCCCTGGGCAATACGATTTTAGGAGAGAAACAGTTTGATCTACATGTTTCATCTCATTCTGCTATTAGTGACAAATGTAAAGTTGGATTTCGTCATTTTTATCGACAGCACGCCGATCTCATTGTTATTGATACACCTGGTTTTTTTAAGAACGAAAAAGATATAGAAGAACCCGTTCGATTGGCTATTAACAATGGAGTTTGTGCAGTACTATTAACACTATCCATAGATTTTGGCCTTACTAATCAAGAAGAAAAAATGATCGACACATTGACGGATATGTACGGTGACAAAATCTTTCGACATATGATTATTGTTTTTACTGGTTTGGATAAAATAGATGAAGATTTTTCAATATTTATTGATCAGCAATGTAGTTCATCATTGAAGAAATTTCTTGAACGATGCTTTAATCGATACATTGCCATCGATAATAATGCCAATGTGACAGATAAAGATGAATTTATATCGAATTTAATAGATATTGTCATGCGAATGTCTCATTCGACTAGTCAAGGGTCAGATTTATCCCCGTTAGTAAACAGTTATATGATTGAATATGAGGAGTTTCATGAACAATAAATTTGATCTAGTGTCTACATTTGTCTATCGACCTGCAATAAGTGCGATATTTTTCAATTTGAAAATAAACTTGATCTAATGAATGTGCTACTTTACATGAATCGATCGGGTCGCCATTAACATATGAGGAAAAATTTCCCGAAACTCACTGAGCCGTCGATGAATGAAAGCGCCCTCTGTCGATATGAAAATCGAAGACGTTTACTTCTCATTGAGCTGTCCGATAGATCTTTCAAGCATTAGGAATCGAGCGGATCTCGAAGGTACACACAACGTACGACGATTTTCCTTACCATCTTATTTTTTTTCAAAAGCAATTCAGATATCACATTCGGGTTGTTCTTAAATTTAGATATAGAATTTTGTTCACATTCTTTGATTGGAATAACAGAGAATACATATAACTCGTTCATCGCAATGTATTGAAAAGAAACGATTTAATCAAACTTCCATCGTCGATGGCACAAACGAACGAAGAAAGCATCTTACATCTATAGTTGCATGTTGAAGATCATAAACGTTAAGTTTCCTCGTTTTATTTCACGATATTTGATGTCGTTAATTACTTTTAGACAAAATGCACTAATATATTTCACATCTTGAAATAAAAGTTTCGCATTCGTCTAAAAACAAATTTCGAATCTGTTAACTTCTCCATCGTTTCCGTTAGAAACCTAAACGTTTACAAGTCATGTAGTGCAGCAAACAATGAATGTCCGTACTTATCGACATAGTCCTTATTGTCAGGAGTATTATTAGAGTGTGGCTGAAATAAATAACGACACTCACACCCTATTTTCATACGATATTTTAAGTTGAAGAAGTGTACTGTAAGTAAAATACAATATACGTTCAAATACAAAAGAAGCATTTTTTTCCACAAGTTATAATTGAAATGCTGTCCAGTACAGAATTGTTTTTTTTCATGGATTGCCTGTTGATAAATTAATCGCTAAGTCCGATTTGCGAACCGCTTTTCTAAAGTCGGCTTCATTTTTTCTATCCATTGAATATTTGCCCATATGTGTTCTGTTGATGATTGAAATTCGACTTCGGCGTTTCCCTACAAAATGAAACGAATTACATAGTAGCTTGCGAATAGACCATTTTCAAATGTTGGTCAACACTGCTGTTCTTTGGTTTTTTAAGTTTTCTTTTTAATTTAAAAAAGGGATATTTTAAACATTTTAACTTGATGATTATCTTATTTTAGATAAGACACTATGTTAGATAATTTGCAATCATTTGCACAATATATTTGCACATTCAAATCAGGTATTTGTAAAATACGCTCTAACACACTCTAACCCACTTCAATCGCCGTTTAACTTGAAGTTAATATCAATCGATAGAGCTTAGAATTCTACACTCATGAGACCCCATTCTAAGCCATTTGCTTTGAGAAACCTTTGATAAAATAATCAAATACCAATTTTATTAGTTCACTTCAAGCCACGCTAACCAACCCTAACCTACTCTGACCCACTCCAAGCCACACTAAGCCATTCTCACTCAGGTCTTTAAAAGAAAATTAACTTTCGACAAGAAAAAAGTCATTGAAATCATTATTCGATATATGAGCTAGTTCACATAATCCACGACCGGCTCCTACAGAAACTACTTGATCGAGGTCGTCAGATTTTGCTCAATTTAAGATATGTTTTAGAGGTAACTGCTTTCAGATTTTCAGCGCAAGCAGTTTGAAAAAAATATTTCTATGTTGTCGAGACATTCAAATTTTTCTGAGAACAGTATCGTCAAAAAAGCAGTTTCGTGATATGCTGTGACACCTATATATTTAGTCAAGTGTATATACATTTGCCTTCACATTTTTACTGCGAACAGATATCATGATTCTGTATTGCTGAAAAAAATGAGCTCATATCGATGAACTACTGATGAGTTGACCAATATTATCAACTACACGAAGAATGGTCATTTTCGCTATTTTCTGCATCTAAAAATTTCATGAAAGAATTATATTAGAGAGTTACTATTTCGACTGTGGAAGGGTCTCATTAAATATTTATAGTACTGAAAATCTCAGGCACCTCCCCCTATATAGTTTCTATCGTTCAGAAGATCTTCTACAAAATCATGATTTTGACGGAACTCTCTACTTTGAAAGGATCTGATTTCCCAAGAAATGGATTGTATAGAAGTCGAACCCCTAAAGATTTAAAGTACTCACTGATTACTACAAAGGAATGAAAAAATTCACATGTGGGCTGAAAGAATGGTCCGAAGACACTCATCGAAAAATGATAAAAATGAATCATTTTCTATAGCAAATGTGCCCGCGTTCGCCTAGAAATTACTGAAAGAGCTTCATCATATTGCATAAATTCGACCTTGCTTAAGTCAGCATATGATCAGCTCTATCACCTTCCACAAAAATATCCTTTAAAACTGAAAACAAAAAAATCTTTTTCGAAAAATCCCCGTACCCTTCCTTCCAACGTTCTTTATGAATAGCAAAACTGCTTTTCTGACGATACTGTTCTCAAAAAAATTTGAATGTCTCGACAACATAGAAATATTTTTTTCAAACTGCTTGCGGTGAAAATCTCAAAGCAGTTACCTCTAAAACATATCTTAAATTGAGCAAAATCTGACGACCTCGATCAAGTAGTTTCTGTAGAAGCCGGCCGTAGATTATGTGAACTAGCTCATATATCGAATAATGACTTCAATGACTGTTTCCTTGTCAAAAGTTAATTTTCCTTTTAAGATCTGAGTGAGAATGGCTTAGCGTGGCTTGGAGTGGGCTTGGAGTGGGTCAGAGTAGGCTAGGGTGGGTTGAAGCGAACTAATAAAATTGGTATTTGATTATTTTATCAAAGGTTTCTCAAAGCAAATGGCTTAGAGTGGGGTCTCATGAATGTAGAATTCTAAGCTCTATCGATTGATATTAACTTCAAGTTAAACGGCGGTTGAAGTGGGTTAGAATGGGTTAGAGCGTATTTTACACATACCCAGAGAAAGCTGACTTTATTTTGTAAAATAAATGTTGACAATAATGGCACCAGATTTCTTTCTGGTGGACCTTCGGAAAATGGTTCGATGGAACCATTCAATAACAATATGTCCGGATAGAAGAGAAGGACAGCAAAAATGGATGATTTTTTACGTACGTCCTGTATGGATACTCTGTGAATTTGCGTACCTTCATCGTATGATATATTGTTAGCTGAAAGTATACGAAACTCATTTTTCTTGGTTTCAGCATTGTGTTAAAATAAGAACATGCTTTTTTAGTTTAAAGAGAGAGAGAGAGCAGCAACTCATATATATAAGCCGTACTTTTGTATTGAGTCAGCCTGAACAATAATAAGTGTCAAACTTGAAGCGCTGGTTACACTGAAAACCAATTTGTTGAATTGAAAAATCTTTTCAAACGAATTAAGCTGCTATTCAAATCACAGTTAACAGAAAGGGAAGTAAATGTTACTTTGGTTGAAAATAAAAATGTTGAAAGAGAACGATATTGACATAGAAGTGTCACAAGACAAAACATTGAAACAATAGGAATAATATTACTGGTAGTTAATATCTTTTCTCTTTGTCTAATTTTCTTATCTTTAGCACAATGGTTTGAAGAATGGATGGATGTGGTTGTAAGCATGCTCTACAGCGATCCATCTTGACATAGATATTGTCAGGTGATGCTAAGTTCGCATCTATATTGTTCACTTACTATTTAATTTATCTGACTAGTAACTGTTGCATTAAGACTATCCATTAAACATGTGTCTATTTCGTTGTTTTTTTTCTGCTTGATATGAACTCGTCACTCGATAATTGACGATGTTAATCAACCAATAAGACAGATTTACAAGAGTGTTACAGGACATCAATCTCATGCCGATGACTTGTGTCTCTAATATTTTCTGAACATCTTTCTCTCATCATCCCAAATTGTCCATTGTTCAGCATATTTATTTTCAGTGAAAGTAAGGTACATCCAGCGAGACTGTTGACGGAGAGTGCATGAAGAGTGTGTGTGACGAGACAGGTTAAGGTAAGATTCACAGCCACAGTCGGTTTTCCCCACATCTGCACTCCATACTCATACTCACACCCACACCCTTAGCGAAGAAAGGGGATCACGACTTCAATGACTAAAAAAGAGCTCCAAAAATGGGCGTCTAGTTGCATAAGTATCTGTATATATAATAAAAATAAAGTTTAATTAAAAAAGAGACTGTGTGATGCCCTACATCTTGACATGCTCTTTCCAACAGAAAAGAATTTAAATATATACGATGAGTCTAGCCAGAGAATTGTGGGTTGCGCGTTTAAAAAAGCATAAACTGAGCAAAAACGAAAAAGATTTTCGTTTCTTTTTGCGAAAATAGCTTATTTCTCGAATAGATGACGGAAATCTATAACATTTTTTGAAAAAAAAAGATGTGTCAAGTAAACATTTTTGTCGTTTATGAAAGATCTGAAGACGAGCTATCTTCCCACACATTTATCTCAATTTCGAAGTTTCTGCCAAAAATTGACTTTTTTTTAGGGAAGAGGCCTCAATAAAATATCTTGGAAAGGTTGTTGGATGTCATGCCATCGAGAATGAGTATTTCAAGATGAATTAATAAGCGAATCGAGAACAACTTGAGAAAGAGATCAATGAAATAATGATTCGTTAAAGAAAGGGAGATAATTTCGTATATGTTTGGCTGCACAAGTCTTTTACAGCGATAACAAAAATTGGTCTTGAATGCCGAAAACCATTTAGATTGAGCGGAGTATAATGACTAATGAATAGGCTTTGAAGTTGGATGCTCGATAGCAAAATTATTTAGAAGATTTTCAGCTATCACGATAGTGAAATATTTTATAGATCAATTCATTTGACAGATCTTCGAAACGAGCAGAACAAAGTGCCAAAATACTGCTCAGCATTGCCTCATTGCATTTATATCGACGCTCATCTGAAATAGGCCTATGCATAGAAAATTATTAAGGAGTAACCCAACAAAGATAAAAAAACAATT